CTAAAAAACATTTCAACATGGTGTCGTGAGTTTAACATTAAATTTAAGATTAACACAGTGGTTAACAGGTATAATTGGCAAGAGGATATGAATTCACACATTGAAGACCTTAAGCCCTTCAGATGGAAATGTTTTCAAGTTTTAATATTGGAAAATGAGAACGGTGGTGATGCTGGCATTGACAGTAACGACAAAACCTTAAGAGATGCGAGAGATTTTGTGATAACTGATGAACAATTTCAATCATTCATCAGTCGTCATCAACAACAACAATGCATTGTACCGGAACCAAACAACATCATGAAAAACTCTTATTTGATTTTAGACGAACATTTATGTTTTTTAAATTGTCGTGATAACAAAAAAATTCCAAGTCAATCATTATTAAACGTTGACGTCGACGTTGCTCTTCAAGAGTCAGGTTGGGATCAGGATTCTTTTTATAGAAGATCTGGCGTATATGATTGGTCTAAAAATATTGATGTTTGTGCTCAAACCAACGATAAATCATTAAATTGGTGATCACAAATATTTATCATTTTTGTTATTTATTCATTCCCTTATTTATTTGTACTTATATAGTTAGTTAGTTACTCCAAGCATAACATTAAAATCAAATTGATTAACCATCTGTGTTGTAAATATTTATATATTTCCTTTGCTTTTTTATATATAACAGATTAAATAGATAATAAAAAATATTCGTTTTATTTAAAGATTAGGAAATCTTTGTGGATGATGTTTTTTTATTGTAGTTAGTATAAAAAGTTAGTTTAATTTTTAAAAATATAAAAAAGATATCAAGACAGAGTGGAATTTGTATATAAAAACTTATATAATGATGTCATCAATTACAAATGGCATTTGTAATTATGGTTCATCAAATTCATCTTTTAAAGAAATTAAAAATCCTGCATTTTTAATTATTAGTAAATGATGTTGCAAGAAGAAATGTTTGTTCTATATATTCCTATGTTTACTATTAATAAGAAATTTTGTAAAGTTGGTTAACAAAATCATTCTTTTTAAATTACTCTTTTTTAAATTAAAATATTTGAGATCCAGAACTTACTGTGAAATATCTTAGTTAATCTGAAACTAGAGGCTTTATTTTATTTATTCTTCTGATAGTATTATTAAAAAGAAGTTTTGTATAAAGTTACAAGGTGTTAACAGTTGGTTTTTGTGTTTTATCTAAAAAATATTTTAAAAAAACAAATTCCTAGTGCATAACTTTCTTTGATTTTAAAAACAACATACTTTGAGCAATTTAACTGATTATTAGTGATTATTGAGTGATTATGAAAGAGAAAATTGAATAGTATTTATTTCGATTATTATAATTTGTATTTTTTTAAAAAATTTTTTTGTTTACATATTATGGAAGCATCATGTAAACTCATTTGCAACATATATGAATTGATTGATGAGGGGGGTTCGAATTTTTCCAGAATTGATTTCCATATTGGGTAAAATACCTGACTGTAATATGTTCGTTAAACTTTTTTGTTGTAAAGAACTTTTATTTATTAATAAAAAAAAGGAAATAAATAAATCAAA